CTTCTTTCGTCTTTGTTTGTATTATTTCCTAAGGGAGAAAAAAGAGTCTCGCTTAGAGACACAAACAAAGTACGAAAAGCAGAAGTTTATTTTAGGGGTTTTTGTTTTCGCCCGGAGACGCTTTACCGCCTGCACAAGAAGGATATCTTCTGGCCTTGTCTGTCGGCCAGAGATGACCTAAAACAAGGATTTTGGATAGACACGTCGTAACAGGTCGCAAGTCTCAGATAATTGACTTCCGAAATCCAGGGATTGAGAGGTTTTGAGCTAGAAAGGGTGGTCGATATCGATCCCAAACAGCAGAGGGAGGATGATATACCTGTGAATGAGGCGGTTACAGTGAATAGAGGATAGATAGAGGATAAGTGAGTGAATGGCTTTCAATGATAGCCACAACAGACCTTGGTTCTGGTCTTGGAGGAAGGAAAGACAGTCGTAGTCGTGGACAGACTGGCGTTGTGGTGAAGAGAAAGAATCCATTCCATCCCTTTGGCATGGCAACTCGGAGCTGACACTGGGACGTGTGGCCTTAAAGAAACCCCAGTATTATGCAATCGTCATGTCACTTCTAGGATCCTGTCTCTAGATTGGCATTTCACTGTATATTGTCTACGCATCATGAGTGAAGTGGCACACAACATGCACCATCGGTATACTTCGGAACTTCACAGCCCTATGGACCCCTACATGGACAAAGTCACATTCTCTCCAAGAGTGATGTGCTGCTACCTAACTACATAGTAGATACCTATCGCCTGTCTTGTATTCATCTGTCAAATTATTTATTTCCAGAGAATATGATCAACGTTGATAACATAGAAAGCGTTAGGATCTGTAGAATCCTCTACGCCCAAGACATACTTCTTTTTGCGATCATCCCCATAGAAAAGTAAAGGAGTGGGTGCTTTCTTTGCCCTTAAAGTACATAGTACAGACACAAAGTACATAGCACAGACACTCCCCCATGCACAAAGACTCATCCATCGCCTGCTGACACATGGTCACACCGTCTACATCAACTCTGTATCCCTATGCGCAATGATCTACGACCCTAGCCCTCCACACAAGCGATGCAGTCAAAGTCCTAATATATATACACCTGATCTCTATCAGCATCAGTACTCCCCCTTGCCGGATACATATCATCCCCTGCGATGAGTCCATTATGTCGCGTGGCAATTTCTCAATACAAACGATGGGAAATCGTCGTAGTAAGCCTCGACGATACGTACTCCTGGGTATCAAGCTTAAATATCTAATCTCCCTAATTTGATAGTCTGCGGTCTAGGGTTGATTGAGGTAAAATATACTAAATTCCGAGCCTTACGGGTGTCTCAGCCTGGCCGGAAGCCCAGATACCACCAACCACGTTTTTTTCTTTTTATTCCGACCTCTTCGAGATCTTGGGCAGACAGGCCCACCCCATCAGCATTACGCCATACAGTCCAATGCAGATCGGATGCAGCACGAACGTCCCCACCTTCTGAGCGAGCAAACCCGTGAAAAAAGGCGAGACCGCACCCCCGCTAGACCCCATTGCGCTGATAAAACTCAAACTCGACACCTGCACCGCGCGAGGGAGCAGCTTCGTGAACACCGTCGTGGCACACGGGTACACGGGCCCGAGCAGGAGGCCGACGACCGCCACGGCGACGGCGTCCCCAACCACGTTGGGGATCAGCCAGGTCATGAGCTGAAACGCCGCGGACCCGACGACCAGGATCACGACGGCGAACTTCTCGCCGAGGAGGTGGGCAGGATGCGACAGCACGAATCGCCCCACGGTGATGCCGGCCCAAAAGCCGGCGCTCACGTACCCGACCCGCGACGGGTCGCCGTTCCGATAGCTGATCAGAAACGAGACCACCCATCCGGAGACGGACACCTCCGCACCCTGGTAGGCAAAGATGAACAGTGCGCCCAGCAACGTGGTCTTGTTTTTGACGGCTTGCTTGAGCAGCTGCTTCTTGTTAGGAGCCCGGTAGTCTTGCCGGGAGGCTGTCTGCTGGAGTGCATGGAGTAACTGTGCGGGCAGGTCCTTCTCATACCCGCGAAACGTCCATGCACCAATTGCGAGGTTGATGACCGAGATGGAGAGATTGATGCAGTAGTAGAGGGACCATCGGATACCATTCGACGCCATGGCCGTTGCTAAGAGCGGGCCCATAATGCCCCCGATCCCGTAGCTGCCATGCAGAAAGCCCAATGCGGCGGTGCCGTTGACCAGATTGGCGCAAAATACATTGTTAAGGGCCAGGTTCAGCGCCATGCCAAAGCCCAGAGGGAAGAAACTGGCGACAATTGCGGGGAACGGTGGCTTGCAAATGATGACCACATATCCGGTCGCGAGCAAGCCCATGGACAAGGCATAAGCTCTGGATCGGCCGAGCTTCGCCTCTAGCGCATGGGTGCAAGGAGCCGCCAGGATGAAACCCAAAGCGTTAGTCACGAAGATGAGAGATACGATCGCATAGCCAATCCCGTAGTCCTTTTCAATGTAAGGAATCAACGCTCCGGGGGCACTATCATTCAAACCATTCCCAAGATTCATCAGACAAGCACTTAGCACACGCCACTTGGTCTGGGATAAGCTTGGCTGCGCTGGAATGGCGTCTACCGTTTCCTGGTTCACCGGGGTGTGCGGACCACCGTTGAATGCACCGGGCGTCAAGGGAGTATGTGTTCCGGTGGGAGGCCTGGACGCCTCCGCATGTGGATGGATGCCTTCAAGTTCGTAATCGGAAAGCGTGCGCGCAATGCCTTGCTTATCCTTGCGCACTGCGGCTGCAGGGTTGGTGATTGCAGGCGGGCTCTCCAGTTGGACCAGAGCCCCGAAAGTCGACGCGGACATGATGTCGGGGAAACTGCACATAAGCAGTGAGATGAAACTTACAGAAGGCGATGCGAGCTGAAGTCCGACAGTATTAAATCGCCGGGGATTTCTACTAGGCTTTTTCGATTTCTAAGCCAGATTTCTAAGCCCCATCGCAGGACATTGAGAACCGCAGCGACTGTAGGAAAATGGATTCCGTAGTCCAATCGCAGTGAATCGGGCCTCGAAGACAGAGACAGTACCGATCTAGGTAGTAAAATCTTGCCATATCAGAGAACTCAGGTCTGATAGAGGTATCCCACTACTACTGCTGCATAGGAACGAACAGCCTAAAAGCCACCCTCAATGCGGATCGGAGAAATACCCCATGGCAATTCAAGGTTGGGACCCTGTTTGATCCAACATTTCATGTGAATTTCATGCCCAGACTGCTGCAGCTGATCCAGCCCGATCGAAGTCCGATCGTAAACCCATCGCGTGCATATGCAGGATCGGACAGACGGGATAAACCGACCAAGCAAAGGACGGAAATAATCAACAATCATCGAGGGAAGTCTGGCGATACACCGCTTTTCATGCCTGAGGGACGGGCCAGTACATACAGTACGGAGTATGTAAAATTCTTTTTCCGCTCCACACCACAACCTGCCTACCACAACCATCCATTTTTCGACATTCCAGTACTGCAGCTACGGATTTTAGAACAGGAGACAATAGACACATAATAATACTCCCATTGTCACGTCAACTGTCATCCATCCCACATCCATTGAATTATGGGACCTCCACGGCGCAAAGTGCTGGCTACAGCGGAAGAGACCCTCTTCCCCCCGGATGAGCTGCAGCAGGGACAGCAGATTGCCCGGGTGATCAAGGCTGCTGGAAGCAACAACTATGTTGTCGAACTGCCCTCGAAAGAATCCGTCCTGGTGGAACTCCCGTCTCGCTTCCGTTCCACCATCTGGATGAAGCGTGGTTCCTACGTCGTGATTGATACCAACACCCTTCCAGACCGGGACAATAAGCTCGCCGGCGAAATCGTGAACATTGTCCGCGACGAGAAAGCATGGCGGAAAGCCCCGTTCTGGTGCGTTATGTGTTTCCCTTCGGCTTTGACGATAGACTGCTAACGACAGTACAGGCCGAAGGAGTTTGTCAAGCAGGCCGCAGTGGTCTCATCCGATGATGAGTCTGATTCCAACGTTGGAAAGATGCCTCCCTCAGACGAGTCAGATGCGTGATACCTTCTTCAAGCTTGTTTTAATGGTTTGGAGCGGCCACTGCCACAGGCGGGTCTTACAAGTGGACTGGATATGATGCATTTCAGCGCATGTCTATCACCATTTTTTGTTATCGTGCTACCAAGATCTATCTGCGGAGAGGGTGACAGGCCACTCTCATTGGATGTGTTGTTTTCCGCCGTGTTTGGCCCGCTTGTTCTCATATGCATCTGGACCATTGGCGAGGATGCCGAAGACCTGCGCACAGAGCGAGAAGACAACGACCAAGGAACTCTGATTGGTGCTGGGATACACGTTCCAAGCCCACTCCTGCAACGCCCAGAGTGCATAAATGAGGATGGGATGAAATCCTGCACGCCACAGGAGGAAGGGGGTTGCCCAAGAGAGATAGGCGAAGAATTGGTAGTGAAGGGACCTTGCGCAGAGTAGCCCGATGGCTAGGGATGTTAATAATGCAGTCATGGTGAACGTTTTGGAGAGCGCCACGCGGCGATGACGCCCTCGAACGATATTCTGGAGAAAGTCCGCCAGGTTGGACCCTGATGGCTTCAACCAACCCGTGGCAACGAACACCCCGAGAAGGGAAATGTGCAACGCTAGCAACCCGAGAGAAAACCGCTTAGATAGGAACACCTCTTCTCCCACAAATCTCCAATTGACTGTCCACTTGAACATGAACTGTCTGGTAAGCTCGAATGCCCGGGAGACATATCCAACGGGGTTTGTCTTCAAAAACGGTATTGCCAGTAGGACCTAGACTTGTCAGCGATGATGTTTGCCATTTATTAGGGTAATCAGACGGCCTATACCTGCACTAGTACTGCTAATATCCCAAGGCGAATGCTCGGCAGCAAGGATAGGCTTAGCACGGTGATGACTACAATCGCCGGGGCAAGAAGCAAGAGCGTCATTTTAATTGCGACTCCGGTAGACCACACAATAACACCGGCGTTCCATTTTCGGTTTTGGAACAGCAGGATCGCAGCCCACATGGCAAATGCTGCAAGGCCATCGTTGAAAAGACGGAGAACGTAAACACTGTGCAGTCGTTTGGACAAGACGAGCAACGGAAGGAGATACGGAGGAGCTCCGGATTGCCTATAACAAGCAATCACCACCGCCAATGTCGCAAGATAGAGGATGGCGAACAGGATCTGGCCGAGCAGGATGTCCCGGCCACTATCAGTCAGGTGATACAGTCCTGCGTAGCTGTACACATGCGCGGCCGGATATACCAGAGGCCCTGTGGAGCCTTTGATGGCGGTATAATCACGCTCGCCAGACAGATACAAAGAGATCTGCTGCATATAAGTCGTCCAGTCGATCTCAGTATCTGTAGACCCCGGGCCCCATGATTAGTTACTCGGAATGTATTGCAGAACGCGGGTGGACTTACAGGGGATCTTCCAGATGATCAGGGCACAGAGAAAGGCATCTCCCAGGACCAAGATTGGGGCGATCCATTTTGTATGCCTAGGGTGCTCACAGAAATCCCATATCCGGCTCTTAATATCCATCGTGGCGATGATGACTAGAAGTGTTGAGATATGGATAAAGTGAGCGTTGATGCAACTGATGTGGCCTCAGGCCCGCCAGCCAATGGCATTTGACCGATTCCGGCTTAGCGTCCACACGAAGACGACCTCATCCTCTCACGCGCATTACGTTGAACGATCTCAATTGCTGCGAGTCACCTCTGATTTTGTCTATATAGCCATCACCGCATATGACTGGTGTTACACTATCTGTACATGGGTATATTGCCAGCATTGGGCTTGTACATGCCCTGCTGATGACACAAACTTTCCTCCACCTGCATCCAATCCGTAGCAAAGAAATCAATTATACAAAGAACCCCCCAAAGCTTGCTTCATTAAATCAGATCTGATCCCATGCAGCACTCTTTATTTCCAGAGCCTGTTTTATGAGCTTTCTTGGGGGGATATTCCTGATCGTAGCTGCTGGGGTTGGTGCGGCGGAGAATCCTTCCCAGAGAAGCCTAACAGCTCGCCCAGCACGCCTCTTGGCTTTGGAACGGGACATTCTCTCCCTGTATGAGCGATTCTCTCGGCTTCCGCTTCCAATTGCAGAAACGTCGACACTTCTTCGTCGGTCGCTTGGGGTATCTGGGGAAGCGCGTCCCCCTCCGTGTTGGGAGTGTCTGCATCCTTTCTTCTTCTTCGCCGAATTCGCTGTATCTGTTGACCGTCTTCCGTGATAATCATCTGGGAATCGGCTAATGTCCGCCGTGGAGCGGGACAGGGGAACAGGTGCGGGATGCCGACAACCAGAAGCGAAGCGAGGAGGGTGCCGGCGAAAAGCGAGGAGGTCGACCGCGACCGAGGATGTAGATGTGGCGGCATTGTTGCGTATGATGTACGATGGACTGAGAAGGAGAAGGGGTCGGTTGGTGTTAAGTGATGGACATTGGACGTCTCCCGCTGGCGGAAGGTGACGGGTGAGCAAGGGCCAGAGGGATCGAGTGTGAGAATATAATGCAAAAGGAATTGGTACCTTGTAGCGACTGATGATATGCTCATAGGAGAGAAATCAGGAGAATAAAGAAGTGCGCGGCCACCAGCGCAGCACTCTAGGCCATCATCGCACGCGGAGTTGGAAGCAGAACAACGAGGTCAGCCGGCGGTGGGAAGAATTCGGAGGGGGCTTGGCGATCAAGATCTAATCTTATCGGGGGCGCCAAACCTGAACCTGACCTGGCGGCAGCGGAGGAAACTCTCTCCATCTCCATCTCCATCTCCTCTCCCTCATCCAACTTCCCCCTCACCAACTTCCGTCTCTTCCTGGTACCTCCAGGTTTTGCACCTCTCGAGGAAAATGTTCGCCCTTTACCAATACACCTAGCCGTCTTTCGTTTTCCTCTCTCCTGGATCTCCCAGGCGCGATCGAGATCAATTGTCCTCTCCCCTCTCCCCTCCTACCCATTCTTTCACGCGACTCAGCAGGACCCACCAATTCTGCTTCTTTCCAACACCTAGCTATTCATCTTCTTTCACATCCTACCCGGCGCGATGAGCGATCTAGACAGGTAATGCCAGAATCACAGCCCGCACACGTGTCTCCGCTATCACGACTGACTCTTCTCTCCGCTCAGAGCGATCGCGCAATTACGCGCCTGCCGCTTGATACCCGAAACACAAGTCCGAGAACTATGCTATAAAGCCAGAGAGATCCTCATCGAGGAAGGGAACGTCGTCTGCGTGGATGCTCCCATCACAATATGCGGTGATATCCACGGCCAATTCCACGACCTGATGGAGCTCTTCCGTGTCGGAGGAGATGTCCCGGACACCAATTATCTGTTCATGGGTGATTTTGTCGATCGCGGATTCTATTCCCTGGAGTCGTTCCTTCTCCTTCTCTGCCTCAAAGTCCGCTACCCCGATCGCATCACGCTCATCCGCGGCAACCACGAATCGCGTCAAATCACGACCGTTTACGGCTTCTACGACGAGTGTATTCGAAAATATGGAAGTGCCAACGTGTGGCGATACTGTTGCGAAGTCTTCGACTACCTGGCGCTCGGGGCCCTTGTCCTTGGCGCAAGCTCCGAACTTGAACCCACCGGCCCGCTCTTGAGCGATGCGACCCAGTCTTCCATGCCGATGGACGATTCCGAACTGGAGATCGAAGTCCTTAACTCTAGAGGCGAAGTGACAATGAGCACCTACCGCCAGCGTGCATCATCGTCAATAACCTCATCGGCCGGTTCCGGCAACATCTCACCTCCCCGGGACATCTCCGCGACCCCGGGCCAGGCGCCCGGGAGGTCCGGCGCGCCCGGCACCGGTGCGTCAGGGGATGGGGCCGGCAGCTCAGCAAGCAGGACAGGAGCCGTCCTGTGCGTTCACGGTGGTCTGTCCCCGCTGATTGACACCGTTGATAAGATTCGCCTGATCGACCGGAAACAGGAGGTGCCGCATGAAGGTGCCATGTGCGATCTGCTATGGTCGGACCCAGACGACATCGACGGCTGGGGCTTGAGTCCGCGTGGCGCAGGGTTCCTCTTTGGCGGGGACATCGTCAAGCAATTCAACTACAAAAACGATCTGTCGCTGATTGCACGTGCCCATCAGCTCGTTATGGAGGGCTACAAGGAGATGTTTGACGGCGGGATCGTCACGGTCTGGTCAGCCCCCAACTACTGCTACCGGTGCGGGAACGTGGCCGCCATCTTGGAGCTGGGCGAGGATGCCAGCGGTGGCGGGACCGTCGCCCGAAGCAATGGAGACTACGGACGGAGCAACGGTGTATTAACCGCCGACAGGCCGGGCGTCCGAAGCCCTGGCAGACGGTACCGGGTGTTTGAGGCTGCGGCGCAGGACACAAGGGGTATGCCGGCGAAGAAACCTGTTGCTGATTATTTCCTGGTGAGTATGCTCCTGGTTATCAATTGTTAATAAGTAGACGGCTAACGCGACTAATGCTGTAGTGATACCACTGATGCATTTTTGCTTCTCATCTGTCCTATTTCCATTCTTATATAGGCCGGCCTTTGCAAGATTAGTCTTGCAGTTATGTGGTGTAATTCACGACCATCTGTTTGGCAGCCAGTTTTGGGCATCTTCTGTTGTGCTAGGTGTTGATTAATGACACTCTTAAACAAGCGAATCATTCATGATAAGAAAATTTTACTAGACTCTATCTACAGTTCTGACCCAGTGCAACGTATGTCTAATATCTACTTTCATTCAATATAAGCGGAGATAAGTATATACTAAACTGAAAACACAGAGACCCAGCCCACATAGTCAGTCGTATGAATACACAAAATGTAGCAGAGATACCCATTTTTCTTTCCTACCCACATAGACACAAAAATAGCCAATAAAAGAATGATGAGGTATGATGTCCAAAAGACCGTCCAGTCATTATAGTCATGTCAATTCATCATGAGATCAATGCAATATACATGACACTCCCGAAACGATGTTAATCTGAGCGTTATTGTCGTTCAAAATTGCCAGGAAACAGCATGTTATTGTTATACGTCGCATTCGGCTCCAAAGTCTGCCCCGGCTGCAACATACCAGACGTAACAACCGGCGGCCTGACATTTTGCAGTGAGCGGGAAGTGGTGGAGCCCGAGGATTGCCCCATGGTGGGAATATTATTCTCGTACGAGGCACCGGGGATCCCCGCGTCCCATCCGGGTCCCCAGTTTGCCGCCCCAATATTCAGCGCGGTCGGGTCGCGAGACCACCAGCCCTGACTCTCTTCTACTAGGTTCTCGGGCGTGTGGAACCCAGTCATTGGAGAGGAAGTGGTGCTGGGACTCAGCGCCTGACTGGAAGCTACGGGAGCTTGTCGTTCGTTGGGGTTATACCATGCGTCGTATTGGGTGATTGGGACTGGACCCAGGGCGTTGTATGCGTGAGACACGGGTCTTAGGTAGGTTGGCTCTGGGAGCTGAGTCTCGTTGTGCATCAGCTGGGCGCTGAGAGAGCGCGATGCGGCGTGAGACGCAACCGGAGCTGGGACGGACACTCCTGCGGGATACTGAGTGCCCATGGGTCTGCCCGGGCCCGAAGGAGCCTCCAGAGGGAGCCCCTGCTCAACCGGCGGCAGGACTCTCGCAGGGGAGGAAAGGGTGCTCGGCATCGGGGCCGAATGTTGAATCACTCCCGGTGGGGAGGACTCGGTCGAGGCTGGGGATGCTGACAGATCCCACGATCCCCAAGAGCCCCATTTCGTGTGGGTCTGCTCGAAAATGGCGACAGCTTCGCTGGGCAGATCAACCTGCCATTTGGTTGCAGATATGTCCAGAATACGGAGCGTTCGGCGGGCGCAAAGCCAGCTTTCGCCCATTTCATCCAAGTGTCGCAGGCAATGAACCACGTCCCTCTGGGCGTTCTTTTCTGGCAGGTTGAGAAGATGGATGGTGCAGGCAGTGTGCGCCATATAAACCACAACATTGCAGATCTGTTTGAAACCATACGTGCGTTTATACACGCGGAGGTATTTCGAGATACTGGAAGCGGCTTGCGTACACAACTTACGGGGCGAAACATGGTGCGGGAGAGGCGTGTTCGTTTTGGTGTATTTCAGGAAAGGTCGGTACAAGTGAATGAATAGGAGCTGGTAGAACATGCTAGAAGGAAGCAGTTAGGTCGTCATTCCAGAGAATCGCGATGGTCGGCGTTCCACTCACTGCATGAGAAGGGCGGGAGGAAGTTGACCTTCCTTTGGTTCTAGTTCCTTGGGCAGATCTCGCTTCCAAGCTTCCAGTCTCGTATGTATCTCACTCAGTCGCTTTAATTCCGCTTGTTTCGAAACAGGCTTCTCTTTGGGCGTCGGATCATAGAAATACATGATCAGATCGCCACTGATTTCACACAACTTGGAGAGCTGTAGAGCAACCGTTCGAGTTCGTGATGCTTGTGTGTTCTCCCGGGTTACCCCAGTATCTGTGTAAGGGGACCACAGTTCAGCCTCTTCATTAGGCAACACATCGATCTTTGGCACGCTGATATTAGCAGTTGGAAGTTGAGGCTGCCGACCGAGATAGTTTGACCAGCACCTGTATCAAGTCAGATGAGCTGCACTTCTTTCCAGAGTCTAAGGATGACTAACTTGTCAAACAGGAAACACCCCCAGAAGGTAACTCGCCGGGCGTCGACCTCCTCTTCCTCTAGATTGCGTGTTCCGAGAGTGGTGGAGTCCACGTTGAGCCCCAGGTCCAAGGCCATGCGGAAGCTCATGCCACTGTACACCCAGCCCTTGCCTTCGCGACCGCATCCGGCTTCCCTGACGGACATCAGGGCGAGGGCTTGGACGGTGCAGAGTTTAGCGTTCAAGTGCTCATCGTTCTCAAGAACGAGCCTTCTCGCCTCCTTGAAGAAATGGTTGCCAGCGGTGGCGGAGTTACTGGGGTCTTCTCTGGCCCCATCCCATGAACTGAAATGACATCCTAAGGCTAGCATGGCGTTGACCAGCAATGATGAGCAGTATTGAGTGGGCACGCCTCGGACGTAGTCACGGTAAAAGAGATCCTTGGACAGGGTGGTAAAGAAGGGATAATGCCAGGTGAAGTACATGGTCATGAGGTGGCTTATCAGTTGATCGTCATCTGTTACTCGTGTCCATCGTGTGATGGAACGGTCACTGGCCTCGTCCATATTATGGTTGCTTTCTGCTGGGTTGAATTCATTCAACTCCGATCCCGGTGGCAGAAAGATGAGGTTGGAGGTGCCACCAATGAATTTGCGGGAGCCATCGAGCATTAGCTCGCCCATTTTCCCGGCGAGCTCAGATTCAAATTGGTCTGTCTCGGCACCACCTTCGGTGCTAGACATGATATCCGCGGTCGAGTTGGTAGAACCTTTCCCTTCTCCCATGATCGACTGGGCGACCTCCTCCAGACTATCGCAGGATCGGATCTGCCGGACCAACTCGAAAGCGTCGTCTTCTTCATAGTTGAGAAGCGCTTGTATTAAAGTCAACAAGGTTGTGTTCTTAGTTCGTAAGGTGTCTGTATCCTTCTTATATACTCCTTTCCGGCGGTGGTCTGAGTTCGGGTCATAGACGCCTAGGAACATGTTAGCTATCCTGTGATGACGAACGTAGTGAAATGTGACGTACAGGTTGTGTGGTAGACCGAAGAACAGGCAGCGCAACTTGGTAGATTCCCGTCACACTGGATAGCCAGTTAGTAAAACGTGGATAGAACTTCGAGCCAGAGATGTTACCTTTGACTTTCTTCGACGACAGGCGATGCACGCGGTGCTCACACAGCGTCTTTTAGATGTGGGACCGGGGTCAGCATTCATTGTTTGCGTCCTGGTCGATGCTTTCCCTCGAGGACTTTTTGAGAGATGTTCCTGGTTCATGTCGAAGAGCTTCTCCGCGGAGTCCTCCATTGTCAAGTCCACTCAGTAGGGCAAAGAGAAAGCATGAAATCAGAAAGAAGCATGCTTATCAAGAGGGGGACGCTCGGAGCTTTGCTCAATGGGGAGATTGCAGGTCAGGGGATTTGCCAATGCTGGAACGGGAGGCGAGGATGCAAGAGGATGCAAATCACGATATGCGGTGCATGTAGATGAAGGAGCTAGCGAGTCTGAGATTCGAGTAAACACATTAGAGACGTGGGCGCAAAGTTAGGCGAGGTGCTTGGGGAGCTCGGCGATCCGGTGGGCGCGAAGCGCGATCCGACGAATGGCGATAGACCCAATTGTCACAGCCGGGACAGACAGCCAGAGAGACTCACCGATCGCGAACCAATCTACTCCATAAGATCGAAGCGAGAGATCACACGGATCAGCTCCAGGGACGACAATGACCCGCAAAGTGGAGGCGAAATAGCCGTTGATGGGGAGCGGGGAAGAGAGTAATCATTCGGGGACAGGCACTGCGAACGGGATGAGGCGCTGACTTCCTAGTGGGTGGTGATAAGGAGAGTCATTCGGAGGGAGTAGAAGGAGCAGAAAGTCTGCAGTGAAGACTCGAGGACGATAAGATGCGACCCCCTTTACGGCGCCAGAACGGAGGATGGTTGGTTGATTGGCGATGCTGCCATCGAAGCGAATCTGCGGTCCCCGATAAGCGGCAATGGCTGACTAACGCGTGAGGTCATTGTCTAGTTCTAGATGCAGATGTCGACATCATATCGAGTGACTTCTTCTGTGGATTATATATTCTTCTATTCTGTAGTTTCTCTCTGGAATGATACATTATATTAGTATCATTGCATATGAAGTGTTGACTTCATAAGAACCAACACTGCTCTCACAGGCTATCTCGGAGTGATATGAACCGTTCACCGGACGGACGGTCGTGATCAATATCTACTGTACTTCTGTCAGACCTTCCTTGCGTCTGGAGTCTGGAATGACAGGCGGAATCCATTTAACCGCCACTTCCGACATTAATCGACCTGTTCTAACGTTGCTTTTTCGATCCTTCTGAGGGAGGTCCTCAATTTTGGAACCATCCGGTAGTACTAGTAGTACTTAGCTATTCAGTACCGAGCACTAATGAACAGAGCATCGGCCCCTCCGTAGATCATTCTTACTCCCGCTATTGTGGCTGTCTATATACATATATCTCGTAGACGCCAACAATTACTGAATAGTGCAATGTTATCCAAATCACAGGATCAATAGAATACCTCTCCCGTCTCTTTGTAGTATACTCCGGGACAGAACTGGGATAACCTTTTCAGAACTTGTCGATGAGCTGCAGGTACCAGTCACAGTCGGAGGAAAGTTTGCTGTCAACCGAACAAGATCCAACATATCTACTGTAGTGTTCGGTAGAATACGGAGTACCTGTTGAACCTATGATTACGCACACACAATAAGAAGGCAAAAGGAAAAGAAAATGACAGAAGAAAACACACAAAACACAATTGCTTCGGAGTACAAATTGTTTCACCGCCAAATCCGGTTGGGCACTACGGAGTATGGCCTTACGTAACACTGCAGAATCGAACATTCGGCGGGTGGAGACGGCAGCGTACCAGCCGGTAATAGCTGGTCACAGCTGGTATTGTCTCACCCCGGAACACGGCATCTGCGTAATTTTGCCGCTCACTAAGCCGTAACGGGATTACGCCGGGCCCGATGAGGCGGTAAGCTCCGGCTGACCAGTGGATCACCGAGGATTAGCGAAGTCGTGTGTCTTATCGCCCTGCCGCATTCAGCGCTCTTGAGGTCACCACTTCGTCTTCCTCGCCTCTCTCACTACTGGTACTCCCTCCTTTGTTATTGTCCATACTAGTTCCATCCTCTCTCTTTATTTATATTTTCCACGTCCAAAACATCCCTCCCCATCCCGTCGTGTCACATACCCTGTACAGAGTGTCGGCTAGTCGCGTGTGCCCCTGCATACCCTTCCCAGAGTGGTTAAGTCTCACGCTTTGGGTTGGACTCCCTTTGGCCTGACGTTCCCGCCTCGCTGCTCTGCCAACACACCCACCCAACTCCCTCCGACTGTTCCATTTAACCCCGAATCCAACCCTGAGGGGAGCCCCGTTGTGGTCGCTTCTTTTCCTCTCTGGTTCTTCGTCTCCCGTCCCGCCTATCCATGTATCTCGCGCAGACACTCGACCAGAGTGCCTCCTCGGGCTTGGGACGCCTTATCACTACACGACTGCGCTGTGCCCTCGATAAGCTGCAAACATGATGGTTCCCCGGGCTTTTCTGTTCAGCTCTGTTCCATCTCCCAAGTTCTCTCGCCAGCATGGGGAGAAATCCCCCGTGCCCGATCCGACTATGAACTCCTCGGCACAAAACGTCGGCCCTGGCCTGGATCTTCCCGATAAGGAGGACCTGTCGCCCACGCAGACGAGACCCGTCGTCATCCCTCCGAAACGCCCGTCTCGAACGTCCCACACAACCAATTTGGCCGAAAAGAACCCCAGAACCCCGAGAACTTGCAAAACCACCAGTCGCTCGTCCTCTACTGCTTCACGAGACCGCTCTGTCCCGAATTCGATAGCCTCGATTTTGGAAGCCACTGCCATCCCCGTCCCTAGACGCCACCGCACCGTTCGAGAATCTAGAAAGCTTCCTCGTGGCAACCATGTCCAGGATTTCAGCAGGATGCTCATGGATGGCGTCAGGTCCAAGGACGACAATCTGATGGAAAGTACCGGTAACACCGTGCTCGATCTGCTCCTGAGTCCTCCAGAGGGCGTCGTGAGTGATTGTGCCAGTGAAAGTCCGTCGTTCTCGGTCCGTTCCATGTCTGTCGAGTCAACCCCGTCGCTTGATCCCGACGGGGATTCGCCCGGCAGCTTTCCGATTCCATCCACCCCCTCCAGCCAACGAAGCCCTCTCGAGAGGAGATATCGACGTCTGTCAGTCTCAGAAAACTGCGCGTTCGACCACCCACTTTTAGAGACCGAACTTCCAGAACTAGACTGGGAGGAGCCCGCCAGCCACGCCCCTCCGTTGCCTGAACCGATTCCTTCCAAGACGCCTACGCAACTCCGGTCTTTTCCGCGGTTAGGCTCTTCTTTCAAGTCTAATTTGACTGCCTCTCTCCGCGCCATCAAATCGGCAGCGCAGTCGGTTTCGACATTCGCAACGCCGTCTGTCCAACCGGACGATTTCCTTACGCGATCTCTGTTTACGATCACCCCAGAGATGACAGATGACCGCCGGCCTCCGCCCATGAATGAACCACCGTCTCCAGCTCTCAGACGTTATCTGAACCCGATCGTTTCTCCCGCAGAACTCTACGCGTACCACGACTATCCGAACGAGAATGTGGACTCCCACGACTGTCCGGTTTCTGTCCAAATGCAGACGTACCATCGCTCGGGCAAGAAGCAGGGCAACCGCAAGAGTAGCTTCCACCTTGCTGGCTCCGAAGGCCGCGACCGAAATTTGCTACCTTTTGACCCAGAAATCCCTCCCATGACACGTCCGCGCGAGCCCCGAGAGAACTGCGACTTTTTGCGCATGGTCGTGCTTGAGATGAACATGCGCCGGAGCGGCAAGCTGCGTGACGACATTCCTACACGGGCGCGGGTCTGGTTACCACCCCGGAAGGGCATCCAGCACCGGTTTACACCTTACGTGGACGAGGAAGACGAAGAGGTGAGCGCGGTACCATCTAGATGGGTCGGAATCTCGATAGAATGCGTTTGACTGTCGCGACGTTTCGATATTTTGTTTCTTTCCTTGGCTTCCTTTCGTTTTCTTGCACAGCGCTTGCGTGAGCTTTCACTCGTTTGTTTCTACTCCGCTGTACATATCTGGAGCTTGCATTTTGGGTTGCATAGAGCAAGAATGGCGTTTGGGAGGGTCAGGCAGTTGGGATGCACATCACATTCTTTTTGATCATGGATACGACTTATTACTCTTTTCGACTTGATACAGATCCTAGAGGTGTACTACCTACTAAACAGCGCGTACTATTGTTCAGCATGTCTTGGATTGTATTATTAATCCGGATATCGCTCCAAAGTACATAGTTAACTAACGCCGAGGTAGATAGATAAACACCTGCGCTTGTCCATATCGGGGACGCAAGATAAGGACTCCCTTGGTAACGTCATAACAAACGATCAACAGCATAGTTACACGGTGAGTTCATGAAAACTCAATGCACCGCATCCATGGTTGAGAGAAACCCCGAATATCGAATGTGGCTACCCATGGATGCGCGGTGTCACAGGCAACGAGCTCATTCCAAGGCAGGGACCAGGGGGCCTCATAAATGACGCTGTTCACATGCAGACTGCTTATCTCTGTCCAATGAAGCGGGAGTCTTTCTATCCTTTTGGGTTGTCTGTTTGGGCAGGACTGCAGATAAGCGCTTTAGCAGTCATGGAATACGACGACCAGCTTGTTTTGATCCTTATGGCTCGGCCAATGCGAGGGATCGCGCAAGTCGATTGACCACGGGGAGGATCGCGTTTGCATTGCATTTTGATTATTGTATATCTGCAGTGCATACTGGAATACGGGTAGCATGGTTCTTCGGCAGACTTGCCGTGTTTGGGGGGTAATTTGGTGATAGCAAACGGAACTTGGCTAGGCTCAATGGGGGTATCGTGTGGTCTCATCTTATTAAGATGTTTTGCATCTTTGGTATCCTGGAGTCCCGTTAGTTAAGGAGGTCCTAGCCGTATGTCAGGAACAGGCACTAACGTTCTTCATCCAACAATGTCCGTTGCTCCCAGCTCTCCTCGATCCATTCCACCGTGACGAGATGTGGGAGCTTTCCCCCTGCCTTTGCTGATAGCGATTTTCGAATTGACGAGACCTCCGAAGAGGAACTATCCGGCACCACCACGATGTGAGTAAGAGACGGGTGTTTCATGGAGTCCACCACGCAACCACCCGCAAAGCGGATGGTGTTCGCTGCTAAGGACAGGCGGTAGATCTGAGTGGATGCTGGAGTCTCGCCATCTATCTCATCTTTCTTCAGTTGTGGGAAGAAGATGGTCAGTCCTTTGAACAACCACCCCAACGGAGCCTCGGCCCCAGAGCTGGCTTTCTCTTGAATGCGCTTGATCAGTTTGTCTATCGCGTCGGTGTTCTGAGAAGCATCTAAATCGTGGTCCTTGCGCATGTTCTTCAAGATCTACGTGATGTCAGTGGATTGCACCACACATAGACAACGGTGCTTACTTCGACGAGCTCCTCGTTAGTGGTATCCCGAGCAAAGCTATCATTATATGGATCAAGGCTTGCCATGATCTCCTCCTCTTTATCCTTGGTGGTGAAGAACATGTGTCTATGGCTTGTTAGTGGGCTATATGACCGTGTTGACATAGACATACCTAGGCTCAAAAGGCAAGAGCAAATCGGGCAGCCCGGCATCAATTTCATTTTGCCGGACACAATCAAGGATCCACGAAGGCCGTACTATAGCGACATTGCCGCTTTTCTGCAGAGAGGCAGCTTTCACCGTTCCTGCCAAGTGTCAATCACCAAAGGTCACGATCAGCGTGATGTGTAGGCATACTTCTATCTGCCACGCAGATTGTGTGAGGAGCCGCGTTGTTCGTCTGATAAAACTTGCCGCCGTTCGCTTTTACAAGCTGTTCCAACTCCGCTTTCGACTTCTTTACCGGCATGTTGGAGTCCGTCAAGACGACTACCTTGGTTAGCAAACATCCAAAGCCTTGGTGGTCACGATCTTACAAAAGTTGAGCCCGTCAAATATATGCCCAGAAGGACCTGCATATTCGATCTCAGCGTCCGAATCGTACCCTGCAATGGCAAGGGGCTTTTTCGTCGTTCTCTTGACACGCTTCTTGCGCGAGTTGTCGACGCTAAACTCCTTTTCCTTCTGCTCCTGCTCCACGTTTGATTTGAGGTCCAGAAATTCCTGCACCGACAGCGCGCTTTTCCAATCCTTGTCCATCCGCAGTCTCTTGAACCGTGGAAAGCGTAGTGTTAGGCCAATTCGGAACTGATCGCTGACCGAGACGGAGGCTGCTTTGACGCAGAGGACGACTGAGTCTTCTGGCTTGATCCACATATCTGGGCGTTCGTGCTGCGCATCACCCCCTGCAAGTTCTATATACTCTGTGGGAGGCTTCTTGGGGTTCCATTCCTTCCATTTGCCATCCGTGTGATGTCGAATATTGGCATAATCGGCCGCGTTGAACCCTCCGCCTACCTTGCAGAAAGAATAGCATTTCGTTGAAGTGGCGCCCTGAGACGAGTGACCGCCATCTGCTCTGAGCCCGCACAGAAAGCTCGAAAGCCTGCCACCTCGGTGGCCTGATCCAAAGTAGCCTCCAATAACTACAACGTCAAGAGACTCTCCGAATTCGGTCATGTACTCCGGCTTCACCTTCATCCAATCATCATGTCGTTCATTCAAGCGGTACGGCGAGCGAGGGTTCTTGAGCACCAGGCCCTCTGAAGCCTCTGCGACAACCGATCTTAACGCGGCTTCAATTTCAGCTTTGCCGGTCGCTTCCTGGTAGGGATGGATTTCGAACCGGCGGTGGACAGGTTTTATACTCTTCTGCAACGCATTCCGACGGTCCCGGAGTGTATATCTGGTCAGGTCGCGTCCGTTCAAGTAGAGAATGTCAAACACGCGCAGGAGAGGACGGGATCCTCCTGAGAAAGGGTTTCTTTGCTCGGACAATGCCGCAGTCTTCAGAGTACCGAAGGGAGCAGGAGCATCTTGTTCTGGATCCCATGTGATCATCTCACCATCCAAGATGAGGCTTTCGACCCCATCTGCGAAAGCGTCTTTTAGATGTCTTGTCAAAGCACCATTCTCGTCATATATTCCACCACCATAAAGGTATGTGTAGTCCTTGGCTTTTCTCGACCAAAACCGAAACCTCCTGCCCCCGGGAATGGAATCGTCAGACTGCATGTGGAGTTGCATGCGTTCACCGTCGAGCTTCTCCTCGATCCAGAATACAGGGTCATCCTCGGTCGGCTTCATGCGACTAATCATCCGATCCAGCGAATGCATCTGGAACTGTGCCAGCTGCGGCTGATAACATTGCATCAATGCGATCCCCCGGTCCTCGGCCTCAAGTCGAATGTTCGGGTCATGCAACTCCCAACAGACCCGTCGGAGACTACTGGAGATGCTGTACAGATTTTCCGCATCGGGATGCCATACATCAAAGAACGTCCGCTCCGTCGCCCCGACTTTCATCTGACGAAGTATAATCCGGATCAACCACATCAGCTCCTCTGGGTTCATGTGCCGGTAGAAGTCTGTTAGAATGGGAAGCTGCTCGTCTTCTTTAGAGGCCGCTGACAGTCGGTCGAGTTTCTCATTGACCTCCTCGATGGACATGTTCCCGACTTCGGTCCGCATCGGCCGCTTCGAGATGACATCGTAGCATCGCCCGGCGAAGTCGCCCGCCATGCTGGATCCCGCAGCCTGTCCGGGGAGCTTCCAGTTCAGCAAGTTGAACCCGTCTTCGGAATTCTTGTCGATCTTCATGATTTTGACAAGAAGCTTCCCGATCGCTTTTTCCTTAATCCCGTACATCGCCCGATCGCGGTCCTTGTCGGGAAGGATCAGCCGGAAGGCGGGATATATGTCGTCGCCGACTTTCCTTCCTCCACCGTGAGATGAATCGCTCGATCACGTCGCGTCGTCGCTCCAACGGGTTCAGGTGCGCGGTCGACTGCCCATGGGGACCAACTTTGCGGCGCGCAGGCGCGGCCCCAGCTGGTTTCTTTTTGATCTCACTCAGGGGGTTGAACAGTGTTTGAAAGAGCTCGTGAAAGGGTAGAGTTGGAGAATGGTTGCGTGGGCGATTGGGATACCTGTGAGGAGTAACATTAGTGAGCTGTTGTTGAAGCGCTGGATCGGTGGATTACTTTTCATCTAGGTCGGAGCCATCCTCATCCACTGGGGGATTCGGCGGTCTCTCATGGTCCATAATATCGCCAGAATCCATCTTGCGTTATGAAGTGGAATGCTCCATGGCATGTGTTGTCGTGTTATGCGGGGGATGGAGAGTTATAAGCTCCGTAGTGTCTAGGCTACATTAGGCACCCCAACTGATAAGATAAGGAGCGTGTGACATGACATCACAGACGAACTACGTACATTCGAACCAGATAGTCCGCTCACACCAGTACTATACTCAATCAGTATCGGACACTTGCTATGGGTTAGGGAATTGGGTTGGATAGACATATGGCCCTAGATGGGGGCCCGGCGGCAGAAGATATTGGTGGTTGTATATCTCTGCCAGTATACACAACATTAGCCCGGTTACAATCTGTCGTCAGACTTATAACCCCAGAGTTTCGCATTAACCGGACGAGTATAGTTGGTAAGTACAGGTGATATATACTTGGATCTATAATACAATGAATGCATGAAATATTCACATTGGTCTTGGAACTTCCTTGCCCAACACATGTCTACATAGCAGGGAGACCATTCGCAGTCTCGGCTGTGACCTCGACGAGCTGCGTGAGAATAGCCGCCAGTCTTCGCGAGATCCCCCAGGAGCTGAGTTTGGCAAGGGTCTCGCAGCCCATTTTAAGGATCATTTCTGGCCCGTATGGACCACAAACGTCCCCCACGCCCGTCACTTTCCCAATCATGCGGTGTCCTTTACGGACAAACATCTGGACCAACTGGTCATCGCAAGGGGTGTCCAGCTGGATGGTCACTGTTGTGTTCGGCTCCTGTCCAGCAGCGCTCTGGTCGGGGAATACTTCGGCATGACACAGGCCGTAAATCCAGAGCGTGAGGGTGGCGAGAAAGACAGCTACAGGCTCGTGGAATGTGTTGGCCAAGTATCGTCGCACATGCCATAAGGTGTTTCCCGAGTGTATGACCGCCAAACGTGCTTTGTACTGATCATGCTTCATCCAACGCAGAACGTATTGCCACTCAAGGGTCTCTTGGCGGTCAACCCAGTGGACCCTATCGGTCGCCAGCGCCGTAGCCAATGTGCGAATCTCCCGAAAGGGAGTCAGTAAGATTAGCCGCGCTTCGTGCAGATGCAGCACCGGGGGATGCTCCAGTCCAGCAGCTTCAGTAATGGCGCTATTTGCTGACCAGTGGAGAATATCCAAACAGTCGCAAGCACTATTACGCCATTTCGAATATGAGGGAATCCCCGGTAGCCAGACAGACCCCGATGGAATCGCAGATTCGCGAGATTGCTTTTTCGCAGTCGGGTTCCAAAATGACAACGGACGACGAAAGTAGTCACCCACCTCCCACATTCGGTGGTAGAGGGCATGGATGATTAAGACCTGGCTGAATTCGCCCGCCCAGGGCACGAGGTTCTTTTCAATATACATCATAAGAGTCGCATCATAGAGCGATGGGGTTTCCTTCGCTGTGGTCACTGTGTCAGTTTGAAGATGCAGATCGTTGGTAGCACACATACCTGGAATATCATCGAGCAGCCTCTTCCACGTCAGAGCGGAGTTTGCTTGCCAAAGTCTCTCATGGGAGGGGAGGGGCGCCTGGCCATCATCGAGGCAGAGTAAAGGGCGGCTATCGAAATGATATGCTAGTGTACAGTCCAGAAGCTATTTCCACGTTAGTAGGACGACCAAGCCTTATTGAAGTGGCTTCCCTACCCATATAAGATACCCTAATCGTCGCCTGACTTCGTCTTCAATCCATAGGGCCCACTGTTGATCTAATGTCTCGGGGCGTAGGCCGGCAAGGCCAGATGGGCCCAGTAGGCCTTCTCTCATGGTATGGTTCACCAGGTCCCCAAAGCTGCTGAAAGCAGAAGCTCCACATCGCTCGCTGCGTCCATGAAACAGCCCAAGGCAATTAAGGATTGTTGCCTGGAGAAGCCACAGTGGGCTTCGGTCAAATCGATGTTTTTCTTTCTGAGTATTGTGAATCATAGATCCCACCAAATTTTCAAGCTAGAGAGCTTACCTCGACATTAATGGCCCGTCGAAGAAACTCATGAAATGCCTGCGCATATTTATGTTGCTCATTCAGCCCAGCATACTGACAGCCTATTGCTGATACTGCCACGGTCACCAGCCAATGGCATGCATTGGGGTTGAACGTTGGACGGTGGAAGATAGGATAAATCGGCTGAAAAGAGCTGAAAAACATAGTCACAAAGGTCGACAGATTCCGTGCGGTTGGGAAGGTCGCTGATTCGAATTTGCGGTAAAGAGAATCGTCGGCACAACATAAACGGCGAAACCACTGGTAGATATGATCGTATGTCTGAGGTTCTATCTTGAATGAGGATGCTGTTCCGTTTTCGAATTGCGCATCTACAGTCGGCTCTTCGATCATAGGAAACAAGAACTGCGGTTCTGCATCGTCTTTCTGTATGTGAGGAAGTGGGCTCGTAGACCCTCTATGGCGGCTTCCAGATGGCCCTGGTTTTCGTTGATATTTTGAGATCTGCGCTCCAGAGTTGTGTACATTATCTGCAGAGCGCTTGTTGTTCAAATTGGACTCCAGTCGGGATGGTAGTGGTTGATCAGTGCTGCGAGAAGACACGCCAGTTGTCCCTGGCCTGTTGGTATATCCACGTTGAATCTGAGCTATATCTTCACTCAGGGAGTGGTTGAAGGTAGGGCTGAACAGAGATCCCGGACCTAGAGAGCTTGAGGAAGGCCCTGCTCGGAAAGTGTGCGACGAAAAGCCAGGGGAGGTAGAGGTGTCATTTACTGAGCCAAGTAAAAAGTCATTAGGAAGCCAATTAATTGTAGAGAGTGTGGAGTGGTCGAGGAAAGGCTGAGTGAACGCTAGCTGGGATTGTTGCATGCTTGTCTCGGCGGGGTCGATCTCTGGCTCCGTATTTGCTGGTTCTAACGGCCTTCGTAGTTGGAAGTTTAGTTCGGAGTCCCGCTCCGCGGCGAGTGTTCCGCGCATATTTGAAGTGGATACGCGAGGGTATGGTTGAAGGACGTTTGCTCCGCCGTATGGATGAAATGGTGGCGTGGTGGTCTCGGAAGGAGCGTCGGGATTGGTATCGCGACGCATTCCCTGGTGTCCATTTTCCAGCGTTTCAGAGTATGCATGAGAACCAGGCCCAGATGCGCGATGGACAGATGGGTTAGGACCATTCGAACTGGGCAATTGAACTTGGAATTGGCCGATTTCATAAGCTGGAGTTTGAGATGGCGGTTGGGCAGCCCCGTCGCTATCCGGGGCTAAGGGAGACAGAGTCTGCTGAGAGAGATTCTGCCGAGAGGGCTGGTCATTGGGTGCGCCATTTTTTGACGACAGTAAGACCTGAGATGCATCCTTCCGCCCCTTTGCTTTGGAGCGACGCTCTGTGGGGTATTGGCATTCCAGCGATCGATTTTCGCATCGAGCGCATGGGAATCCTCCACTGCATCGCACGCGTGCGACGGCGCATTTGAAACATGCCCGGAACGTCTTGACGGTAATTCTATGAGTGCGGTCTTTCCCGCCATCGCAGCCTAAGGTATGATGGCTTAACTCATGACGATGGAGTGTATCACTGGCCACGGTCAGCCATTGGAGGCTTCAAAGATTGAACGGCTTCAAAGCAAGAAATACATACGTCCTGGAGAAATGACGACCACACTGGGTGCATTCGAATGGTTTCTCTTTGGTGTGGCTGCGGAAATGACGCTTCAGGTGCTCCGGCCTTCTAAACGTGCTTCGGCAGACGGAACACGTGGTTTGACCGGAAGACGCGCTAGGCTGCATGCCACGATCCTCGCCAGGGCTGTCGGTTTTGATGGTACCGTCAACGTCAGGGAAGTTTACGGCCTCTATTGATCGCTCTGTTAGAATTGATCTAAAATTCCTTGTGCTCCTCGAAAGGGTCCACAGTTGATCTCTCGATAGGAAAGCGGGGCGAAAGAAATTGGACTTACCTGGGCCAGCGTCGCTCTTTTCCAGCGACATGGTGTCTCATGGGAACAACACGCGGGATTTCAGCATTGCCGCTGAGATGGTACAGCAGCAGTTGAGAGGAGCGATAAGAGATATCCATACATGATCTAGAGCGAAGAGGAGATCAAAATTGCAGGTCCAACATAGCCCAGATGGGAGGAGAGAAGAAGTCGGATCTTGTCGCAAGGCTCTGGGGTAAAAGCTTTTGGCAGAGGAACCGGAGGCGGGGAAACATGGCTAGTCGATCCGGATGAATTCCCCGCACTCGGTTAAATGCGATGGGATAAATCCATTGCTTCTGTCCATACTGAGCTGACCCTACGTGTGGCGGCCAAAATCGAGCAGGTGGCGGCCAGATCCCGTTTCTTTACCCTATATAGTTTACATTGGTGGCCGCAGGCATTCCGACACAAGATGTTTCCCTCGTCTAATGGGGAGCTTGATCTGTTAGTAAAGAAGGATCGGATAATTACGGCGCGGTTATACATAGAGGGTGCTGGTTGACTCGTCCAGAGCTAGAGGGTTTCTGTCGGTGTTATGCTGAAAGAGTTAGTCTCTTCAGCATCGATGGGGAAGGACCTGTTGACAAATTATGAGAATATTCAGAGGGTCCATTTACATGCAAAAGAGTAATTTATGGCAGAACAAATCTACTCCGTGCTAGGTAGTCTATCAGATCGTCGGACTTCCATTCCGCTTTCCTAAGTCGGCAGTCCTGCTGGCAGAAAGCGATGGCAGAATCCTGTTGATCTCCACATCTCTATCTGCCAAGTACGGAATCATGGCATGATCCTCTCCTTGATCTGGATCGTCGTTGGTTTTCGCTATCACCTAACACGAGGCTTTAACACCCCAAAACGTCTTTTCTTTCTGGCGCTCAAACTTCGCAGCGGGCCATGAATGGCGAGCCCAATGCCCGCCCCGAACCAGCGGGTAGCTCCCCATTTGTCTGGCTGCCAAGTAGCCGTCAAAGGTGCTGCCACGGCATTCAATGCTCATTCGCCAAAGACCGCCGTATCGTCCCTCTCACGGGGGTTAGCTTCCGCCCAAGGAGACCGTGATGGCTGTCGCGGTGATCAGAAGCCGTCATCACGACCGCAGTCCGCCGGGGAGCCCGACGTGCCGCCTGAGGTCGGATCGGTCAAGGACAAGATAGGAAGATTTGCAAAGCACTCCGACCCACCAGCGTCTGCAGCGTCGTCCAAGATCACTCCCCGGGAGGCGACAGCGATCGCGCCGCATTCTTCCGAGCAAGATGTCGCGGCACGATTGCCTTCTCACAAGCCACCTGTTCCCAGTCGCAAGCCAACGGCACTCACGACCAGCAATATAAGAGCGGATAAGAAAGATACACTGTCTAATCATCATCCTGATAGACCACATACACAGCCAGACACACCAGAACGCCGGGATACACCAACCACCCCAAGTAGATCACATGACGGAAACTCCATTGAACGCAAAAACCCACCTCCCAGCAATGCATCTATTCCGCGGAAGCCACCGGCTTCGTTACCTTCGCAGCTGGCTGCGACGAAACCGCGTCCTGTGTCTCGCCCTCGGACCGGCGCATCAGGGACTGTTGCGCCGGTCGTCCCTGATGCGCCGGCGTCAATGCCAGTGAGCATCCATGCCGGGCGAACAAGAAAACGCGTTGAAATCCCATCCGTCGAGTACTCGTTCGGCTACTTTGTCTACGACACCTTCCGCCCTACTCAAAGGCCAGACTCCGGCACTTCCCCCACGGTCCAATCACCGTGCCCTTCTGGACGAAATGAACTCTTCACCGCAAGCTTCCAGTCCGAGCTCATCGTCTATCTATGGGCGGGCCCATAATAATAGCAACTCCAGTTTGGTTACCGGCATGGATGAAGAGGCCCTGTCGGATGCAATTGTGGCGTCGTCATTGGCGTCCTCCCGAGCATCCTCCGCAAGGAGATCTCCTCCGCCCCCACCACCGCAGCGACGGGCAGGAAATCGCTCCACCTTGCATCTACAAACGGGCCGGAAGGAGCTAGCAGAACACCCCAGGGCGTCGAGCCCTCTCCGACACACGCTGCGCAGCCCCGCCAAGATGAAGGAAGAAATGAAAAACGATCACCGACACCACCACCGGTTGCTCCCCCATAAGCATCCCCACAAGCATCACGAGGGAGATCGAAAGAGATGGCGCGAGGAGATCACGGAGAAGGCTCGCAAGCGATACGAGGGCGTGTGGGCTGCAAACAAAGGGTTACATGTGCCGACCCCTGAGCAAGTGCACCAGTACCTGTCGATACCGGGTTCGCCATCCATTCAGTACCCACCGCATCCAGAAGAGATGGTTGCCAAGGTCGTGGTGCGTGACATTTGGTTAAGGAGTCGTCTTCCTTCGCATGTGTTGGGACAGGTTTGGGAGCTCGTCGATCAACAGAAGATTGGGCTTCTGACACGGGAGGAGTTTGTGATCGGTATGTGGCTGATTGATCAACAACTCCGGGGGCACAAACTCCCTTCTCAGGTTCCGAGGAGCATCTGGGGCAGTGTGATGCGAGTGTCGGGCATCAGTCTGACCGACATTCATTTCTCTTCTTGACTTCGCCTCACAGGGTTGGCTCGGGGCCCTCTTTCCGAGGTCGAGCTCTGGCTGATCGTCGATGCAGGGTGGTCCCTTGTGCATGATGGACTTTCGGGGCCACCAGGAGTAGACAGCCAATGATACGGGATATCTGTACATACGCATATTAATAATAAATATAAAGCATGGCACAAGGACGTTTCTGGACCATATCAGACCGTTGGAAAAAGTACGAAATGCAAAGTACGAACGGATGATTATGTATCATATGTAGGATGATAGACTACCTAGTATTGTGGCTTGGTCGGCCAGGCCGAGTCTAACGGTTGACACTTGCATGTCGGTGTATTTGATGTGAGATTGATCGTGGGACTACCTCCCCCTAGCGTCTGATCGCGAGAGGCATTCCGCTAATGGAGGAGGCGACGAAGAAGGCGACCGTTCTCTGCATTGGCATGCGCCGGGCTGGTCTGGGCCAGGCCGTTGCCTTGTGGTCAGCAGGAGAAAGTGGTTTCCGTAAAGCAGTGTATAAGAAGCTGATGGAGCCCTTAAGTAGTAAACAAGTCGTAGTTATACAGTAGAAAGGGCCGTTGTGTCGGGTCCTCACGTGATCTACGGTGTCTCCGAGAGAAAAACAAAATCTATGCAAGTACGATACTACAGGTATACTACCGATCTATTCTCCTTTACTACCTAGTCCTCTGTACAAAAGAATGTGCCTGCATACAGATCTCATCTCCGTTGATCGCCGGTTTACCTACTGCCTACTCCGTACTATCTAGTGACGATCTTCAGTCTTCGTCGACCGGCACTTGACTAATCATCGCCCATCGAACGCCACTGTGCTTGTCTGGGAGGGAGCAAATCCCGAAGCGCTGGTGTTCGGGATTTGGATGCGCTGCACAGGCCGGGCCTGCCTTAGCTCCCCCAGCTTTTATCACGACTCTATCAGACCACTTCCACGTCTCCGGGTCGCCGTACATACCACCCAGGCACTGGTGATTTTTAATCCCGTGTCCAAGTCTGTTTTGTGCCTTCGCCTGTCCGTCGTGATGTGCTGATCACCCCATCTACTTCCTTGACGTCGGTGGATGACGGAGGATACAACAACTACTACTACTACACTACCTACAACTCCACGCTCCTTTCACCTTTCGCGGTCGGCGCATTACTATCAATCTATTACGAACGCCGTCGGTGACTGTATCGGGTTGTCCTACGACCATTTACTCTGATTACGCAATCACCTTCCACCAGCGCCATGGTGTTTGAGGACTATCGACCATCTCGTCACGATGGAATTACTCCAGTGACCCAGCCCAGGACCTCCCGGCCCACTGTGGTTCGGAAGAAGTTTGCCAAACCCCCGGTCAAAGTAGCCTGTCTATCTTGGTATGTGTCTAAGAGTGGGATCAATATCGTCATCCATCTTCCACATGGCGCATCTCAGCTAACATTTGACAACAGTCGTGCTTCGCGAACACGTTGTGACGGTCAAGACCCTTGTTCCAATGTACGTCCTTCATCTCTGTCCTCTTTCATCTTCTCTGTTGGACTGTCGTGGCCTTTTCTGTACCCCCCAATATCACCATTTATTGACTAGATGCTAAACCTGGTTTCC